ACTACTAAAATCTCACACTGAAAACTGTTTTTAATAAAGATTGATGCGCTAGGTGCATGTTTTGCTTCATGTCAAGTCTTTTCTCTAGCAATAGCAGAGACTAAGCATATGATCCATATAGCAAAAATACCTAAGGAATTTCAGTGTCAAGACTGTTTGTTGCCCAGGCAGTGAAGATCACTTTTGCTCGTGCATGCTGCATCTTCAAGTCTTTCATGTTAACAGTGGATAATGCTCTCAGAGAGTGTCACCTTCTTTGCCAGTTCAGCAGTACCCTCAGTGCCCACCAGAACTTTAGGGACAGGGTTTTATTATTTTATTTATTGCAGGCAGAGTTTTTCTGCATCGTATTGAGTTTCTTGTAAGATGTTTCATTTGTCACAGTGAATGCACACTCCAACTTTTTCAAGTATGCTATGGTCTTGCCACTTTAAATCTGAAATATAAAAACTGTGTCAAGTCCTGAACAACATTTAGCTGTCACAGATTTTCTATACATCCTTTTCTGGATGCCAGGAATTCTGACGTGATCACCACTAAGCTAACAGAAAGGCGTTTCAGAAGAGTGCAATAAGCATAAAACAAAAGAAAGATTAACTTTTCCTGATATGGCATGGGCATAGGCACTGATGGATTTCAAGCTTTACCTCACATTTCTGGATTTCTAGATACAATTTTACATACTTTTAAAATTTCCTTTTTAGATTGTCTGTCTCTTAAGTTTGCTGCAGTCCTTTGTAGGATAATTAAATGATGCTTATATAAAGGTAGTAATTTCATCACAAGATCCCAATGAACAAGAAAGCAAATTATTCCTGTCAAAATACGCTGTTACTGTGTATCAGACAGCAGTGCACAGAATTGATAACAGTGAGCTGCTGAGAGGTGTTATTCTTAGGGTTTCATGCAAATTATTTTTTCGCTTTAGAACCATATTACTTGACATCTTCTGCATTTCATTTCCAAATCCTCTTCTGCATTAAACCAAAGCCAATGCCACACATGTGAAATGACGTAACCCAGCCAAAATCA